AAGGCAATTCGGGTCAATAATCACAATGAAATAGAATAAGTCACTACACATAATAGGTAAAAGTACAAGTTGATAGTACGAAGACAGGTGAACAAATAGTGGTAAGAATAATAAACTACAATAACAAAACTCTTATCAATAGTTAATCGTTGGAAATAGAAGGTCAAATAAACATGGGTAAATAGACTAGGAATAGTAATCACAAAACCTTAAAAATCATTACGTAATACGATGTGTGTAAATAATTAGATAGTGAAGAATACAAAGAGGCGGATAATGACAAACAAATAATGGATGTGGAAATAAAGGTTAACAATAACACAGATAGAATAAAATAAATAATGATAATAATAAAATTTAAAATAAAATAAAAATAAAAAATTTAAAAAAAATTGTTAGTTAAGTTATAACTGGCCATGGAAGGGATAGGGGAGTCACGTATTTCTTCTGTACACATAGATTGGGGTTATATGTACGAATTCCAATGGCTTCAGCTATATATAGGAGACGGGAACGGACTCCGTCGGGAAATGATGGAGGTATACGATAGATAACTCGAAATGATTTCGATTTCTCTACTGCATGACCGTTATCAATAAGATGTGCTAGTATAGAACTGCGAATAGTTTTTCTCTGACCCTTTATGTACCAAGTTGGTAGATGTTCACTCATTCGTTGGTTAAGTTGCCTGGTAGTACGCCCTATATAGCTATCTCCACAGGAGCAGCTGAATTTGTGAATGCACATGGAAGAGGTCAACTCAGGTAACTTATCCTTCGCTTGAGTAGACATCGCTGATCGACAAGAGAAGGTCAACGCAAGATTGGCTGCGTAGAATGTCTTGGTGATTACTTTGGTTAACCTATATTTCAGAGTGTCACTAGCCACATCCCCGTTGAATTGCACTTTCATGTATTAAGGTTTCTTACGAACAGTCGAAATCTCCGACTTCTTTATTATATCCTGCATGTATTTCTTGATGAACGCGCTGGGGTAGCCGATCTCGGTCAGTGAGTTGTTGAGAAATTCAAGCTCCTGACTTAGAGTGTCTACTGTACAGGTCTTTTTTGCTCTGCTCGTGAGACATCTGACCAAATTTATCTTGTACCGGATGGGTGTGAAACTGCAGAAGTGAGTATATTGGGGTTTCTTCTATATACGCTTCTACTTAATGTGCCGTCACTTCGTCTGCTTAGCGTGACGTCAAGGAAGCTCAGCTTCTTATCATGCTCGCTTTCACCAGTGAAGGTGATCTCTGGGTGAACACTGTTGAATTGGTCTAGGAGTTCCTCTTTACTAGTGTTTTGGTCTACGATAATGAATGTGTCGTCAATGTATCGGCAATATAAATCCAGTTTCTTAATAGTCTCATTGAGAGGTCCGTTTTCTAGCTTTGCTAGGAAGAGGTCAGCTAAAATCGGGCCTAGAGGCGAGCCCATGGCTATCCCGTCTATTTGTCTATAGTAAGTATTGTTGAAGACAAAATGTACATTCAGAGTGCATCTTAGGAGCAGTTCCCTTAGGCTATCGTTAGACAGGCCAATGTTGATTTGTTTCTTTGATATTTGCTTTCATATAAACTCAATAGTCTCCATAAGTGGTACGTTGGTGAACAAAGATCCTACATCCAATGAGATCATATTTTTCATACTAACATTAATATTTTCTACTTTGGAGGTGAAGTTGAAGACATCTTTTACACTATTTCTAACAACTGATTTGTGTAAAGGTTCTAAGATTCGTACTAGCCACTTTGCGATTTTGTGGTAAGGAGAATTGTACATATCTAGAACTGGGCGTAGAGGAAGACCCGATTTATGTACTTTAGGCAAACCATACAGTCGTGGTGTAAATGATCCAGTCGGCTTAATTGAATCGTGAATCTCGGTCGTAATTATTCCCTTTTTCTTTAGATCTTTAAGGAAATTGGCCAATTGTCTTTCTACTTTATTATTGTTGTCACAATTACTAGTAATTTTCTGAAATTTGCTAGAATCGCCAAGCATTGTTTCCATTTTTCCCAAGTAATCATTTTTGTTCATGAGAACTATACCTCCTCCTTTATCCGGTTTGGTTATGGTCAGGGTTTCATCTTTTCTTAGTTTCATTAAAGAGTCTCGGTGCTGCTTGGTTAGTAGGTGATTTGTGGTACCCTTACTATTCTTGTATTGTTGGCAGCTATCAACTAGTGTGGTTTTAAACCGAGCAAGGTCCTCCAATGAGGTAGGAATCAAGTCAGTTATTTGTGAAAATAAACTTAAAAATCTAAACTTTAGTGTTCTGTGCAAGACGATTAAACGAAACTTAAGATAAAATAGGAGCAAACACTCATCTTTATTAACATAGTGTACGCTTTAATTACTATTACGCTGTTTTTTTGCGATATAAATATCTAAAACAATTAGTCCCTTTGATAAATTTCGATAATGTAATAAGAAGACGAAGATTATCAGAACTATGTTATATATTTGCGCAATACATTTCGAACAATCTGATCACACATATACTTGTTAAATGTGTGTGTGGTCACACATACGCAGGGAGGAGCAATCGTGATCTCAACATTAGGGTGAGTGAACATGTACCCAAATGGGTGCAGAAACAAATACAATCAAGTGACCCAATAAGAGCAGAGGATAAACATCCATCATCCTCTATTGCTAAACATATAATTTAAAACAATCAGTCCCTTTGATAAATTTCGATAATGTAATTAGAAGACGAAAATTATCAGAACTATGTGATATATAGCGCAATACATTTCGAACAATCTGGTCACACATATACTTGTTAAGAGCATTTATATATAAAAAAGAAAGGTCAACTAGACAGAAAACGGGGTAAGAGGAGATAAGGATAATGATAATAATAATAATCATGTGAACACAGAGCGAAATCTAGTCACTCTGGATAATAAGTCAATATTACCAGGGTAGGTTTAAGGTGAAAGAACAAACTGTTTTTGAGCACATAGAGGGGGTTTGAATTTTCGTATGGCTAAGGCTTCAATAAACCTTAGTATACGCCCTTTTACACTTTTATACAACAATACAAAAGCTGAATTTAGATCAATCTTGTGACCTGTTTCAATTATATGTTTAGCAATAGAGGATGATGGATGTTTATCCTCTGCTCTTATTGGGTCACTTGATTGTATTTGTTTCTGCAGCCATTTGGGTACATGTTCACTCACCCTAATGTTGGGGTCACGATTGCTCCTCCCTGCGTATGTGTGACCACACACACATTTAAATTGGTAAACACAGTGGGATGTGGCGCAATCGTTTCCATGTACTTTAGGTTTTGAATGAAGCATGCACCTTGTTCTTTCTTTGATGATGACCTTTCCTGCACAATATGTTTTATTAATGACTGATTTAAGTCTTTGTTTCAATAAAAGGCTATTTGAATCACCTCTGAATGTTAAGGTGATGTAGACAAGCTTTTTCTCTACCGATGCTACAGTAGGTCTCGCTGTACCATGGACTTTCCATCTATTTATGAATTTCAGAGGATAGCCATTTTCTATTAACGTTTTATTTAACAACTTAACATCATCATCAATTGCGTCATTGGTACAAATATGGTCGAGTCTGTTGAAAAGACACCTTATCAAACCACGTTTGTATTGCACAGGTCAATAACTATAATAACTAAGATATTGACCTGTCCACGTTGGTCTTCTAAAAATAGATCGCTTGACTGAGCCATCTTCTCTTCTACTCAGAAGTATATCTAAGAAGGGAAGCTGATCGTTCTTCTTTTCCTCACATGAGAGAATGATATGGTTTCGGAGAGTGTTAAGTTTATTTAATAAAGAGTACATATCCTCTTTCCTCTCACAAACAACTAAGATATCGTCCACATATCTCTTATAAAGTGACATGTATATATATCACATAGTTCTGATAATCTTCGTCTTCTTATTACATTATCGAAATATAAATATCTGTTTTCTTCATTTATTTGAAAAAAGTAGTGTTATCTCTCCAAAAATAGCTTCCTGGAAATTTAGTAAAATTATTTTCAATTTAACGGGAGCTTCGATTTAAATCACCGATTAACACTTCATAGTGGATGGTAAAAAAGCTCAAGGCGGTTTATAATTTGTAATTTGTCAGGATACATCTATTAGTCTTGTTTACTTTTGAAGATAAGGTAATACTGTAAATGCAAGTTTCAACACTGATTAATTAACATTATTTCTTTATCCTGTCTACTAGCTACCCCTCAAGGATTAAGGTGATCAAATATCACTATTTCTGTGTACTTGAATCTTGTTTATTATACAACGATTTCACCACCAAATAATGTCATGTTATTTCTATTATCCTAACTATGGTGTATTTTATCCTCTTTCGTCTATCAGGTCAAGTTCACTTTAACCGTTATGCTTTAATTGTTTGGTTAATTTCGTATGAAACTTTTAGTTGTGTTGTAACATATGGACTGCAGTTTAGATGCGCAGCGTATTATATCGACCGGATCAGTGACACGTAAAACACGTAAGGACGACTTAGAGTCCCGATTGGTCCCGCTTACCCTGTCTAGCCCAGCCAGTTGAGTCTAGAATGCAAGTCACAGCCTCTGAGTTATGAATCGTTATATTTCAAACATACTCTGTTTATATACCAACCAAACAGACCACATCATACCATAAAAATAGAAAACAACATTTACACAATATTTAACAAGTGAAATAAATATCGACCAATAGGGAGTGTACATTTAACGTCCAAGGATACCATTCGACTTAACACGATAATTATTGGTATATTCCTCTGCATACCTAACAAGTTGCCAATTGCCTGTCAATACTGAAGTACTTTATGTTACTGAAGTAGTTTTACACTACTCATATAGGTGTTATCAGAAAGCCTTATAAACACTATTATTATTATTATTATTATTATTATTATTATTATTATTATTATTATTATTATTATTATTATTATTATTATTATCTATACATACATTTTCTGTTTATTGCTTTAATAAAGAAATTCTTGTAATCCTGTATCATCTGGAAATACAAAACTTAGTTGTTGTATTTGCTCAAAATATACATGCGATCTGGCAGCTATACTCGAGTTCACTTGTTTAAGAGAAGATCAGTTTATTAAACTGTCTTATGATAATTCAGTATGTTATTACAAAGAATTGTTTCCATATATTATTTAACAACATTACTTTTCATAACTTATATAATTTCATTAATTCATCTGCTAAATTATTTGAAACAAAAAATGAAACTTTCTTCCGGCCTACCACTATCCTAATGTGGTTGGTCATTATATATTGATCTTTTTTCTGTATAAAAAAGCGAGAATTCGCTTATAAGCTATCGAAAATCGGTCCATGTTTTGATGACCTCATGCTAAAGAATGAATGTGATGGTTGAACACATACATTTTCTCGTCTGTTAAATGACAACTTTTTTACTTTTTCTTATGCGTTTAATTATAGTTGATTAAATTAGTGAAATGCAGACATCTAGTTTTATAATCAAATAAATTTTGAAAGTTCTATCTATGCATTGATCATTTCAGCAATATTGTTTTATCAGCATAGAGATTCGTAGAGATTATTGAACATTATTGATATCACTAACCAACACAAGTTAAACATCCATAGAAAACCAGGTAGCACTAGCTAAATGTTTCATTTTAGTATGCAGTAACTCAGCAATTCGCATCGACGAGCGCGCAGAGTATCTTGGATTGTCTTATTTGAAAGAATGCAGTGATAAAAAATCGCTGGCCTAATATGACTGAATCATTGGGAAATTCAGTGTATATGATCAACCATACTCTTTCAAATGAAAAACAAATCAGATAATTTCTAGTAAAATCCTTAAATTAGGCATCTCAAAGGAAATTAAATCAAATTAAACATAAATTGTGTGAAACTGAATCTTATTTCCTTTGAATTATTACTTTCCCATTATTTGACCTGTTCATAGAAAACAAACCGTACTTTATGCTCACCACTTAAAAGTTTAAACTTTATTTTTGGAGGTTTGTGTTAAAACAGTTAAATGCGTAGTCTTTCAGATACCTCATACATAAATTATCTTTTTCTCTGTCGCAGTCTTTCCTCCTGATAAATAGAGTACTTGTCCTTTTGATTAGTTTGTCTATCGATAAGTTAGCCTTGCGAATGAAAATAGACTCTTGTACGATACTATATTCAACATTGTTTGTATTTAAATATTGATTCTGTGCATTAAAAACTGAATCATGTAGGTTTTTAAATAACTGAGAGGAATTCATGTTGAGAGCAGTGTTAAACTATAAATTCTGGCCTTTGTACTTAAGCACTGTTTTCATGTGCTTTTTCAACTAGTTTTACTCTACAAAATATGAAAATTAGATATACATTAATCAATGTACTTTTTCGATATCTGAACAGCAAGATGTCATCAAATCGTTTTAGAACATTGATATTACGTGAAAACTTTAATTTCTGAAAAATATTTATAGTTGTTTAATGTTAAGTGTCCAGGCATTAAATTATTAAATTTTAGTGACAAGAAGTAGAACCAATAAACTACTTGGTTCATCTATCTCCTATCATCTTTCTATTCCTTTCTGGTAATTTTACTTTTGAATGTCTTGAATACTTAATGAATACTGTCAAATATTCATTAAAAGTATTAGTTATGATAAGATCGAACGCAATATCTGGTTTTGGATGTAACTTTTCATCTCGTTAATTTGTTTCTGCAAGTAGACATCAACAAAATATTAACCCATCTATCGTACCTGTCAACGTCTATCAGGAAGACGAACCAATAAACTAGCAGTTGCTCTTGATTCCTTTTTAGATACATCTTACGTCGTCATGTTCTGTTGTCGATTATTTGAGTCATAAGTTAAGCTTCTATGGAAAAATCCTAGTAATAGAAAGAGATTTTAAACTATATCATTCCTACTATGTTAATAACGATAACATTGTATTCACTTGTCAACTTCACTTCCTTTCAATGTTTGTCTAATATCTTTCATAGGTTTACCAATCTCCTTACTTTGTAGCAGTCGATGATTTTAGTAAATGTATTGTTATCTCTATCCGTGGTACTTTGTCGTTCGATGACACTATAGTCGACTTGCTGTACGATGGTGTACGATTGAGTGAAGTTGAAGATTTTGTCGAATCAAAAGCGGGTAGACGACCATGTTTTATTGGACATCGCGGTATGGTAGAACGATCAAGACATTTATACAGTTGTTTACTAACTGATCATTCAATTGAAACGGCATTTAGTAAAAAACCACAATATAAATTAGTGGTATGTGGTCATAGTCTGGGTGCTGGCATTGCATCTTTTCTTTCGGTCATCCTACACTGTAAATATCCTGATGTGAAAGGTTATGCTTTCAGTGCACCTTTGGGTATGATGAAGTAAGTATCATTATTACCATGTCATTTATTTTTATTAGTCACTAGCACTATCAATCCAGTCTCATTAATTATCGTTTCTGTTGTTTTCTCAAGAAAAGATACAATTTATGCACGTGCTAACTAATCTCCACAGTGGAATAATCGTCGGTCACCTCTGTAGATTACTTACTATATATCGTCTCCGTAAAAATCAACAGTTTATTGGCGACATAATAAAAAATATTCTGTATAGCCTTTTTAATTTTACACTAATGTAAATTCTTTTTACCACCTTTGTGAATGTTAGGAAATGATGAAATTCGTAATCGGTATATATACAAAATAAACAGTAGGAATGGTGATGTGTGGGTGAGAATGATCATGATTGGTTGTCTGCTTAGTCAGACATGTTAGATAGTCTGACAGGTGTCAGATAAGTTATATATTCCCTTATCCTTATTATTGTGACACAATTATTATTGTTTATTCATTGTTGTGGATTGTGTCGGTTTTTGGTGTGGAAATATATTCACGTTGTGGTCAGGCTAATTACGTGTTCTTGATCTGAGTTGTGTTGACGTCCTGTAGAATAGACACTGGGAGGGATCTATTGTAGATAATCGTTTAACGTAAATTAATGTCCCATACGTGGAAACCCAACCGTTATAACATTAGACGAAGTAAAACCAAGCGTTATAACAAATGGTATAACTGCAAAGACGATAGTTCAAGCAAATACTTGTATAGTGAAAATTCCCATTTCGACATTTGGTAAATAAAGAAGGATTATTTATATGATGACAGTTGTTTTGACAAATACGTTCAACTTTGTGTAGAGCTGATACATAGCTTCCATCGTAAAAACTAAATTCTTTTTCCGAAATTTAGTTAGGTGGCAACTGGAAATCGAATTTAACTACTAATCATAGTGATTCCAAGTAACTTTAAGATTATTCATTGTTTCCTCTCCATACAAAGCATTCGTTCAGTCTTCAACATGTGGTGAATCACACATCCACTCAGTTCATTTATTTTAGCTGTATACTAGTCTGTTTTGTCTTCTTCCGTATCTTAGCACAAAACTCAATTCTATGTGTGTAGAATTTGGCGTTACTTGAGCCAATGTACCTTTGAGTCACCACCCACCTCTTGAAAACCACTTTTTTCTAAAAGAGAGAACTATTATTCTATACATTGAAGTCAAACATAATAAATTACTCTTAATTATGATTACTAATGTGTTATTCATTTGAGTTTGTGTGCGATCATTTCAAAAACGTCATTATAATTACGATGTATGTCTTTGTTCTTAGATAAATATCTCAAGTTTGTATGATGAGTCATATCTTCCATTTACTGAACCCGATTGACCCAAAATTTATCTAAAAAGTTTCATTCACTAGTTTTTCACTATGGAAGTATTAAAACCAAAATGTTTCTCAATGTGAACAACATCATAGCTAGTGCAAGTTAAACTATAGACACAAGTCTGTCTGCAGGTGAATATAACTCTGTTTTTATAAGAGCTAACAAATTCTATAACAAGATACTTTCTAGAAAAATTTGTGGAAACTAACGTAGATTAACTCGGTTTACTTGTGTTGGGACGGCTTCCGAGAAGGATGACGAAGCCTCCAGAGGCCTTAAAGGGGCCGAAGAGTTTCCACCAATTCAGAATCCGACAGAGCTTTCTACAATATCAACTCGGCATCCTGCAATTGGACAGTAGCAAAACTTGCCTCCTTGCGGATTGACTGAATTATAATGATGTTATAGCAAACACTTGTCTATAAATACCCATGGTTTTCTGTATATTTTTTATTCTCACCGAACAATCACTTCTATCTCTTCTATCTTCTGATTTGCGACTCTGGGGGTTCTATGCGTTCGAGTGCCTTTAGTTGTATATCGTATTCTGTGTTAATCATGTGGCGAACCTAACAACTTGTTCATTATAAATACATTCATGACTATTAATGTTATCTCGTTCAGGTTTTAGTTATTGTGACGTCATACACCTTAGTCATATCGCTTCTTAACCTTTTTTTAAGTGTATCACAAGCTGTATTTGAATAAGTTCCTACTTTCAATTTTTGGAGGATACAATTCATCTGGATTATATTTATTAAACTTATGGCTCCGTGCTTAGAATTTACTAGACTGAAGAAAATATTTTACTTGCTTTTACAAACAACAATCTCCATTTCGATTTCTACATAAAGTTGTTAATTCGATGTGATAAAAACGCAAGCTGGTAGTTTAGAACAGACAGTAAAAAGTGTTGGAACAAAGAAAACTAATCGTCATTGTAATTACTATATTGGATTGAGTTTGAAATTCATTGTTTGGAATGTTTCTAAGTGTGATAAAACTTTAGCATATTCAAGTTTAGGTACATGGCTCATGTTGTTTAGACCAAACGAATATCATTGTCGTCGTTTGGATGATTTAAAGCGTGTTACATCCATCAAGCTATTTGAAACAAGTCAAATAATAGGAAACATCTAATTAATACTTGCTCTAACACTAAGAAAGTTTACTTTGCTTTCATGATCTTCGTCCAACGCAACCTAAATTATCTTTTGAAAAGCTTATCCCTTGTTGTGTTAAACAGTTCAAGGGGATCGTCTTCCATATCAGTGTTTTATACGAACGTGATTACTATTGTGATAGTTAATTTGGGCTCAAAACTTTTTTTAAAAAATGATAAGAGTACTATGTGTTCAACTATTTTCGTTTGAATAGAATTGAAAGATCTCTCAACATTAAAGCAATGTGAAACATCAAACCGAACTGCAGTAAACTAACCATTTATTGTATCTACCATAACAACAATGGTACAACTATCATTCCAAAACACATTTGACGTCATAGTTATGCCACCTTAGTGTATCTATGTCTTCTGTACATGTTAATAACAAATCTTTGTCTACAAAAGTCATGACTACTACAGTGTGTAATTCACCAACAATTTTAGACTGTAAAATGATATTCTGGTTTTAGGTTGTATACTTCACGTTATTAACACCTTTGTTATAAATGTTTAGTCTAAAGAGTTTATGAGTCCATACCTTTCCAAATGTTATATCTCTTCTGAAAAAGCCGTCTCTCCATTTATATTAAACCGATCATGTCTGTATATGAGCGTGCATACTATGATTATTTTTCAAACATATATATGTATGATTATCGTAAATATATCAACAGAATCCTAGAGTTTCTTGTTACTGGTTGTTTTAATCGTTTTCCATTTAGTCAAGAACTAGCCGACTATTGTAAACCTTTTCTATTATCCATCATCTATGGATACGACATTTTCGCACGTATGAATAAATCAACGATATCGGATTTCAAGTGGAGACTAATTGATGCTTTATCTGCTTGTAAAGTACCCAAGCATCGTCTTTTAAGTCGGGGATTATTTGTATGCATGCGCCGTTGTTTGTTTAAATGGTGTTTACCTCAATGTTTTCAACCAGAATCTTCCACAACTGTTGGTAGTGATACTCTGCTACTGGATGCAAGCACTCAAGAGCGTTTAATTTACTCCCTTCCACAAATTCCGTGTGATGATGACGAAATGCGAATTCGGTTCTCAGTAGATGATGATACTTCTAATTCAGGTGAATAATACCATGAAGTTGAATTATACTTTTTTCCCGGGAATTATTTATTTATGTGAACCTAAAAAGATTATTTTAAAGAAGCGTCATAAACGTATTGTACAGCTTCATCGTCGTTTCGTCTTAGCACGACTTCATCAAGTCAGTTAAATACTCTAAACCTTGACACAGAGAAACTTATTAACAACACAAACTTAGATGCTCATGTAAAATATTCCTCTCTTTTCAATAATAAACCATATTGTTTGGTTTTATTATCAAATTGATTAACTATATGCTTCTTTTACTATGATTGATTACATGTAAGAAGTTATTAACAACGAGTTATGTATCGAGGTCTGTGTAATTTTCACTGTACACTGAAATAGTGTTATTCAGTCTAAGAGTTAAATCGTCATACCTACTCTGAGAGCTTTTATTAGCAAACAGTCGTAAAATGGTATATTTTGTCTAATATTCTGCCAAGTTCGTATGATACTGCGTAGATGTAGCAGTTTTGTGTATACAACTAAACAGAACTATAAATGATCAAGGAAATACATTTTCACATGATTGAAGAATCGATTGTATTTTCAGAAATTTGTACTCGCTTGTATGTGAATCAGATTCTGTTTATATAAAAAATAATACCCTCAAATAGTACTAAAGTAATGGTAACATGCTATGAATTGTATTGTACAAGTTTTAATTTAGCACTTTCACTCACAGATACATTTCTCTGCTTTTCTAGTTATATCTCAATCTTTTAGATCGAACGTGTGCAAGAAATTAATTTTAGTTTCTATCTTCATGTTATTATGGTATGATAAAATTGGTTGTGTAAAACTACAGATAATTTTTGTAGTTATACGTAAGGCATCCCCCTGTTGACTACCTCGTACAGATTATTAAATTGGGTTACGGAATGAATTTGTACTATTCTATGATGGTTGTTTTTACTCAAAACCCATTGAATACCAAATCAACTGTCTGTTAGTACATACTTTCGTAGTTATGAGACTTAAGGTGTTTTACTATTCCATTAACTGTCAAGTTTGAGTTTCGATAAAAAAACTTGCCTATAATGCTAGATATCTCTAGCTGATTTTTTAGTTCAGGCATGAATTAGATGATTATATTACAATAGATAAGTGTGATTACTCTTCGGGGCGCTTCAGAATCATCCATATCATAGTGGAATAGAATGACTGCTACTTTACATATGCACAGAAATATATTGTTTGATTTAGGATCGCTTTATGGTTGCTTATATCAAGTGTTCTACTCATATCCATTTAATTAAATCTCATTATAATTCATGTTAATTTTTCATGCCACTCTGTGTTTCGTAGATTCCACAAGTGCTTATTGTACTGCACGATCCAGTCGTTTTCGTCCTGGTCCACGTTCAATTTTGTGCTGGATCAATCCTAATAGTCTTCCAACAGATTCCCAATCTAAAATGCCTGTTTCACATGTTCAATATCCAAACAATAACAATACTGAAATAAATTCGTGCTCTTCTAATGAAATTCAGTCGCGTGATCTTGAATCATATGATCTATCTAACAGTGTGTTTGGTGGTTTAGTGCTTCATTTAGTCGATGTTAAGGTTGATACAGTTGTCGATGACAGTTCTACTGGTTTCGTGATAGATGGAAATAATTCTCAAGGAAATATCGAATGCACTTCACCAAATTGTAGTTCTAGAGTGGAAAAGATGTTTTCAGCAAAGTGTGGTAAAATGGGTGCATGGTACGTTTTTGTAAATGACTTCTCTCGTATAACTGTATATAATTAAATGGAATGATCATTATTTGTGCTAGGACTATTAGTCGTAATCATTTACAAGAAAATTAGTGCACGTGTTATTGATTCCCAACAGTCAATAATTTCTTCTACAAAACTAATGCATCTCACATAGGAGGTAAACACTTGTCCTGCGTTATCTAAACTTGATTTCTATTTTTAATAGAACGGTTGCAAATATCTATTATTTAATCTTTTTTTGGGATGATGGGTCCCGTATTTACAGTTATTTTTTATGCTAAGAATCCTAAGTCATGAACGTTTTAGAAATTGGATAGTTCCAATGTTCACTGTATATATCAGACAATATTTCAGTGATAAAGCAGTTTTTATTTTAAACTATTGACAAATTAAACAGTTAAATATGGAAAATAATTATTTTCATTTTACGAAGAAAATGATTTTCAGTCTAAAACAGAAGTACGTCTTCTGTCATCCCTAACTTTTATGTGTTCTCTTTTATTAAATCATTAAGTATTTCTTAATATGCTTTTAGCTCCATTTTATAGCTTGGACAGCAGAAATCACGTGACTACAGACATTTATCCGACCAGCGGTCATAGCAAATGTGATATTAAGGTTAAATACATTAATATATTTTCAGTCATTAAACTCTTGAAATGATAGTGAAGAAGTACTTTTTTCTCATCATTGTCTGTTTAAATCATGTATAACAGATAAATCGTAACCATCAACCCCTATTCTCGAAACAAATGTTAACCTGATGGCGCTGTATTTCATAGAAGAACTAATCAGTTAGCTCCCCTCGTATTTTTGAGCGAAATCAGTCATCGACATGGCTACATAGCATTTTACATTATACTTGTGTCAGTTTGTGATGAGAACCCAAAGCCTAAACACTTAACCGCAACTGAGAACAATCTGGTGACTTAAAAGTGTTTGGTTCCTTTTAAGGGTCCTAGAAAATGGAAAATCCATGGATGAGTTGATATGTCGTCGTTCTTTTGAATCTAAACCAGAGTAAGTCGTAGAAGAAATTAATAATTATATTATTTATGTAAAATCTAGGCAAGACTATGCTATACCGAAGACCTACAGTGAATTTATGGGTGGCCTTGAGAGTAGCCAATCAAAATACAGCTTTCGTATTTGACTTTCAAAATGTTGGAAAACGATAGGATTACAGAAGGTTGAGAGTTAAAATCATAAATAAACTTATCAATGCTAAATATCGTTAATTCAAGCTAGATATCATAGTTCTGTTATCAGAATAGACCCTAATTCGTAGCCCTATGTTAATTAAATGCTAACGACCCTATAACTCCTAGGTACCAGATTTTAACCCTAAAGCTTCTAAACACCAACGCCCAACCTTCACACTCATAATCCAAACAAACTGACGTTGATAGCTCATTCTATAAGGTAATCACCATCCAGTCTTTTCAAAATTCGAAATATAATAAAAATCACGAGATTTATAAGCAAGATATCCCCAACAGCGTTTTAAATTCGCACATCAGCCCGCTTAATTGTGATTGATCGCTAAAGGTCGTCTATGTGGTGTAGTCTTACCACGTCATAAAAAGTAAACGTGATAGGTAATACTGGAATAAATAACAGTTAGTTCAATCAAGATAACCTAGAATATTTTTTTTCTCCTTGCTACAAAGCATATAATATTATTGCTTGTTTTCAAAATATTTATTTACTCATTCAAATACAAGTATGTGTACAAACGGATGCCAAAATGTATATTCTCCACACAGTAAAAAGCAGATTATAAAGAAATAGAAGAAGAAAGGTGAGTATAATAAGAGAGGGAACAAAACTTAATAAAAAATAGTGAATGACAGCAGAAAAGATGGAAAAGGCAGTTCGTTTTATAAAAATACAACTAGGAAGGGAACCTTCAGTCAAAGACGTTCGTCTCACTCTTATGTAAAGAGTAAAAGAATATTACAGCAGGATCGTCGCTGCATGTTGTTATGAATCAATGTCTGGTAAGGTATCAGGTCACTGTGTTGCGCTATCGTTAGGACCTTAATAAGGGAGTCGTGAAGGACCAATGGATTTTAGTCTCGTACAGCTTTCTTTCACACCATAATAACTTCAGCAAGATTATCTCAGGTGTTAATAGATATATGCAGGCGAATGTCACTTTCCGGTCACCCAGACCGCGGAAAGATATTTGTTCTTGAGGGACCTGAAAAAGAAGCTGGATTAGTGGTGGTCTTAGTAACCTGGGAGCATGACTGCAGAGCCCTAGGAATAACTCCTTGAGGCCGGTCACGCATGGCCTTTTTATGGGAAGTTTTAACGTGTTAGCTCCGGTGAGGTGTGACATTTCTAGGGTCGACCTTTTCTAATCCCTTCCTTCCTTATGAGAGGGCAGCATCACTGCAGATGCTGGTTGTCCGAGGGAAACACCTTACTGCTGTTATACCCCTCTACAGGCATCAGTACGAATTCGCCCTCAGACCTTGAGTTGCTGCTTTTATTCTTACCGTTCTCTAATCGACCTGTCTGGCATGATAGGACCTATAGGAACATATGTTCCAGCCAATATAGCTCTGTTGAGTTATCAAGATAGGCATACTCGACCACTACGTTAAGGTATCAGTTACGGTCAGGAAATTTATATATATATCTATATATATCCTTTTCAGCCGTACCCTCGATACCTAATCTATTCTATTGCCATCGATACTGTTGCTACCTCTACTGTTCTGGGATTTGGCCTGACAACTTCATCTCTCTGTGCTAACGGAGTATGGCAACTTGAACCGATATACATCAGTACAAATTCTACTTCGTGACTGACTGATACCATGGTATCGTCTCATATACTGACCACTTCTTCTTTTTCTAATTAGTCGCAGTATCGGCAAACAAGGGACGATGTGGAATTCTCTGGGATGACATTCATAATGGACGTCTAAGTCACCGACATCAGTGTTACAAGATGGTGACACCAACTGGATTATATTTGTTGTACTCGAACACATGTCACTAAACTTTCACATTACTAGCAAAGTATTGCCACTAAATCTCAACAATCCGTTGCAGATAAGAATGATCAAACACAGAGAATCACTCAACATCTTCAACTTAGAGACTACGTCTCAAAAGCCGGACACAATATCGAACTTTCGACTGTAATTAATATGTGACAGCCAGTCATAATTTGTCACTCCACCCCGTAAATAAAGCGGGTTTGAAATCTAGAATATAGTTTATTTAATTTGAATACCTTATCTGCTAAACCTTCGCTCTTATATATTATATTAAAAAGGATTCGAATATTTTAATCTACTCTGTCCCCGAACAATTCCGATTCTACTTTTCTATTAAGTGTTGTTAGAAAACTTTAAAATAGACTTAAGACAAACTTCATTATCAATAATTAAAGTGTATTTATAATAGAAATACTATTTCGTTGATAAATTGTAGCTCAAGTCCTCTTTTTAATTCACGTTAACTTGAAATTGTCTTGAAAGTAGGTTTATTTTTATCATACTTTTTCATTTCATCGTTAGCCATGCAATGAATTCAAGAGTACAATTTTAACATCTTCCAGTTGCTCAAAATTTTAGGTAATAATAATAAGCAATTTTCTCATGTTTTAGTGAGACTATGATTGATGGACGACATTTGAACAGCGTTAAAATGACCTTGGAATGTCTACCCACTTACTAGGGCCAAATAAGGGTTATAGATTAGTGTAAGAAATTAGGATTTACAGTTGAACGTTAGGGTTAGGAACTAGATTTAATGTTTTCATCACTATCCGACGTCAGCAACAATGCCAAAATGATATTTTACCAAATGAGTGAATGAATTTCACGCCGAAATTCAAGACCTGCTATTTAAAATTTGATTAGTTCGTTCATAAAATAATGTTTTATAAGCAACATAGTGAATTAATTATCTAAATAACCAACCATCTTGTAATTTCTTATTTGAATTATTTACTATAATTCATCTTGTTATATGTCAGTTTTAACATATATTTCACACCACGTTCTTTCCTAATTTTCACTGCATTTAATTTGCTTAATCATCCCAGCGATTTTCTATAGCTATCTGTGCATATCTCTAAGATTATCTGGTTTAGTAAATATCGATGCTACAACGGCCTGAAAATACTTTCAGTTGATATCATATATATATATATACGTGTATCCATTGTTTGTCTAAATTTTCCCCCTTAATAACGATAGTACTTGTGTGTAAAAGATAATTGGGTATGAGTTCTTCGGACAACAGAATAATCATTTATTCAAGGCCTTAATATTAAGTATATTTTCATTCAGTTATATCTCAATCTTCGAACTTGGTGTTAGTTCTCAATGTGACCTATTGTCAAGAATTGGTAAAAGGTCTTATATCTTGAAGACATATATGAAGTCAAATTCTCGATTTTGATGTTCCGTACTTTTGGTTATAATGTGCAATAAAAAATTGTTTGACTGTCCATTAACAGATTGAACCACAGTGTATTTTTTAAGATTTGAACAGGATGTATTTAGCACTTACGCACTGCTACACATTACTTCTGATTGACAACAATCGCCCACCTTTCAACCAAATGATTATTACAGGTAAGACCAAGATTTATTTACTTTTGATTATAATCAACGATGCACTAAATGTAATCAGGATTCGCCTAAAAATCAATTCTCACTATTTCAGAGTGTATACTACGATCACCATTTTTGTTTAAGCTTCTTATAACCATATTCAAGTATACATGAATCATTTCTTCATTGGCGCCTTATCTTTGAGATGTCTCATTGCTCCTCCTGTGTTTTTTTATATTTCATTTGGTGTACTTCTAGTTGTGTTAAACCTCGTAAATTGGGGAAAACGATAGTTGGTGTCTGGTCGAACCCACAACAATTTCAAACGATTCTAATCCACCCGAAAATGTTAAGTCATCATTTGCCAGATCGAATTTTGGAAGCAGTAAGTTGCCTACATCAAGAGTTACTTTCGGAATCAGCAAACTCTTTAGATAATAATGATATCCTAAACAGTTTAAAATCATCCGGTTATATACGAAAGTTGAAAAATACTTCTTAATGTCGTGTTTTACCCCCATTATCATTCCAGCAAGCGAAATTATTCATTTTTACTGTCATTCGATTCAAATATGTACCATCCACTAATATCATTCTTTGACATCCGTTTAATTTCATTCCATTTTTTGATTTTAGTATTGTAAATCTATAGTTTTTACTCTTTTGGGTTACCTTCATGTAATGCTTCTATGAACCATATATTTTTTATTGGTACGTTGTATGCAAATAACGTTTCTCTCTTTCTCTTCTGTGACATAACTGAAATTAAACTGAAAAGATATCTTAACAAGAAAAGCATCAAGAGTAGGTTGGTTTTTTGTCTTAAAACTTATTGTGAACATGTGCAAAATTTGTTTTTCACCCACTTAAAAATATGAATTATTTTTGGAGTCCCGAGCTTTAGGTGTTTGTTTGAAGAGTTCTAAACAGGCCAACCCTTCAAAATTTCTTCAACTGCTTCTACAAACACTTTTTTCAAGCCTAATGAATAATACGTCTTTTTATCTTATTTGTTTTATGAAAGTCTTTTTTACTCACTTTTTGCATCCATGTCTTTTCATTTACGAAAATCATCGTTATTATCCGTATGTTAGCAAGTATTTGAAGACTACGGATTTCCTAAGTGATTTATTACCTTCTAGCGTAGTTGGCTGATAGTATTTGTTTTCCCTTGAAACTTATTAACAGACAGTTATTTCAATTTAAGTGACAGATAAATCATACTCATTAGTAATAATTTGTATAAACACATTATACATAGCTGTGATTTTGATTAGTCTTTCGGGGATCATACACGGACAGCTCATCTGTTTCTCTTATTTCACGGTAACAATTATTAATTATTGTACTTACTAGTGTTTTTTTAAATGGCAAGTCTTTGCTCTCCTCTTAAAGTACTTTTATTATGTACTAGTTTTTTATCATTCGTGAATATACATCTATTTTTTGTTCAGTTTAATATTAAAACTGCTTGATTTTATATCACTTTTTATATAAAAGATTGTTAATGTCCTTGACTATATATTATTTCAGGTCACAATCTCTCCTTCGTTTTAAATAGTTTTCGAATACAATGGTCTTATTAGTTATCATAAGGGATTAGATCAGGATGTGTTCAAATATGTAAGAAACCATTCGATAGTGTGTAGACTTGCGATTTTCTTGTTCTGTCTAAATGTATAGTATAAAAGCCGAAAGAGGTGTATAGAAATCCAACTATATGTTAGTTGTTAGTGTCTAGACTAGTCAACAAAGTACACTGATTATAATGGAAGATGTCATTATTTAATGGAAAAATGACAGCGCAAACTGGTTTATTGTCACAGATCTTAATGGGCGATCAACAAGTCTTGTTGTTGTTGGTAATTGGAGCCATTTGTGTCATGCTTGTTGGATTATTGATTAAAGTATCCTAAATTATTGGAAGACCTTGAAAACGTTACTAAATGCATAACCATGCATCGCTTCAACTTTTACCGTCTTTTTATCTTTAGAGCTTTAAAGATTTTTTCTTTGAAGTTTGTGTAAATGAAATTGTCCAAAAGTAAGTAGACTATTTGCAACTATGACGTTTTCATCCCTGATTGTTTTTACCTCATTTAGTGGATCACTATCTTAGTTAAATAACCGATCACAATAATCCCAGAAGTTTGTACAATATGCAACTAGTATTACTCTTCTTGGAGAAATACAGCTACCTCTCAGATTAGGTGACAAGACTTTGACCGGAAAATGTTATATATTTATATCTGGGAACTGTCTTACCAACTTATTAGGTATTGATTGGATAGGTAAATTTGGTTTGTGGGAGTCGCCGTTGAATACACCAAAAATAGAAGCCCAGACATGGCCAGAGACTAACAAGCCTAGAGTCCAAGTACACATCGGTTATGTTGGACCAATAAACGGACAATATTTTTTTGTTGGTGGTAGATTCATACTCTAAATGGCCTGAAACTTATGTTGCGCGAAGACTGTCTACATCTCAGACAAGTATTTGGTAGTGTTGGGACACCTATTGTTTTGGTTTCAGATAACGAAACGCAATTTACGTCGTCAGAGTTTGCGGAGTTCTGCAAATGGAATTGAATCAAACGTATTAGAACCCGATAGTACCACCCTCAGTCAAATGGGCAAGCAGAGAAATTTGTTGATGTTCTCAGGCGAGCTCTCTTAAAGATGGGAGGAGAAGATAACATAGAAGGAACTGCAACTGTTTCTAATCTTATAGAATAACACTTTATCCAAACTGTCAAGACGGAAAATCACCAGCAGAAATAATACTTGGCCGACCAATTAGGACGTTTTTTATGTTTTGAACCCGAAAGACAGAACGAGTGGACTACAAAAAAACAAGAAAGGGAACTGCTAGAAAATTCAAAGTTTAAAGCAGGTGACTTAGTTTATGCATTTGATTTCCGTCCATGAATGCCAAAATGGATATTTAGGTGCATAAAAAGAAGACGTGAGGAGGTATTGTATGAAGTGACGATTAGAAATACACTAATTACTAGATATATAAATCAACTGCGAGATAAAAAATTTTTAGTGGGTCATCGAATCTCAAACCTTTGCCAATCGAAATATTATGCGACACAATTAATATTCCACCACCTCCACAAGTTGAAATGAGAGAAAACGAGTTGAAGTAAGAAGCTAGCCGAAGGTCATCAAGGGAACGGAAACAAACGAGATTTTTTCCAAATAGACCCAAAAGTGAAGTCACACGAGCAAACTTCGTGAGGGAGGTGATGTGCGGGCGAGGATGATAATGATTGTCTGACAGGCATTAGATGAGTTATGTGTTTTCCTACCCTTATTATTATTGATTGTGTCGGTTTTTGGTGTGGAAATATATTTACGTTGTGGTCAGGCTAATTACGTGTTGTTGATCTGAGTTGTGTTGAAGTCCTGTAAAATAGATACTGAGAATGAATCTAGTGTAGATATTCATCTACGGCAAATTAACGTCTCTTTCGTGTAGACGAGGAAACTCCGACCGTTTTAACACTTATTTACATCAACTTGAATACAATTCAAATGAACTTATAGCTATAAAGCCTTTCTACATAAGTTCTGTTAGTTGAGTACCTCACTACGATGTATACCGCGATCATTAGTATTGGTTAAACACCGAGAGATCGATATTATGTTTTGAAAAAGGACTTATTATTATTATTATTCACAAACATTTTATGGGTACATAAGTGTTGTGAAGAAACCATTTCGGCTTTCTTCAAAAATGCAATAATACACAAGTTTCAATAATGTTAGCATTATGTTTGCCATATTTGAAAAAGAGAGTAATAATAATGGTAAATCAGGTTCTGTGTAATTGAGAAGAATATTAAATTGAGTTTAAAGAGGGAAAGGAAGAAAATAAGGGAATAGAAATGGAGGAGACGTGAAATACACAAATAGTTTAATAAGCGTGTTTATGAACTCAGAACAAGAATAAACGACTATGTATATATCGCCAAATGAGTAACAAATACAAAACAAAATAAATAAATAGGAAAATAGCTAATCATTGCAGTAAGATATGACATTAGAGTAAGTGTTTATGTGGTCATAGTTTTGAGTGATGCTATGAAAGTCTCAATTAAGTGAAAAAGATAATGAAATATCCATATGTATGAGTCATATATGCACAGTGAAGATAAAACGAGTCTGAGAATTTAATTTAAATGTAACACAAGTTATTGTCTTAATTACAAACTTCGTAATCTTAAGGATAACATTTATTTAGATGAAAAAGAATAGAGAGAAAAGAAATGAACAGGTAGTGAAAGGGTTAAACCATGATAATAATAATAAGTGCACTCGAGTAAATACACGTAGATACAGAGTAAAACTTGATATTCGTATAAACATTTGTGCAATAATAATTTAAAATGATGCTATGAAAGTCACAATTATTTGCAAAGGATAATCAAATATACATTTCTATGTGTTATATATATGGTGAAGATAAAACGAATCTGAGGAGTTAATTTATTCAAGTGTACCGTGAGATAATTTGTTTTTAGTTAAAGACTCTGTATGTTTAGGAATAAAATATGTTTAGAAGGACAAGATGAGATGAAAAGAATATCTAATGTGTCTAGGGACTAATAATGTTATTAATAACAGTAATAATTATAGATCCGAGCATAAGCAGACTTCATATATTAAGATGAATAGAAATAAAATAAAATAGACGTGAAAAGTTTCTAAGATACGTTACAAAATAAGTGTGAAGTATGTAGCTTCCTGATTTATAATTTGACATGTTAATTAATCATGAATGGATTTGTCTACCCAATTTCAAATGAGTTTTTTTTAAAGGTTTGTTTACAACACTAGTAAGGCGCTTCTAGCGGTAAATAAATCCCCAAAATAAATAACTCTGTAAGTCTTCGACATTGGATGGTGACCATATTCTTTTTAATGGACTCACCTGGCTGAAGGCGCTCTGGCATGCATCCGCACCAGATCACGAGTGGGAACGCCGTACTCAACATCCCCTGCAATCGCAAGTCAGTCTATATCAGTTGATTCTCAAGATATTGATAGCCTATTAATATATATCTTCGAACCTCCTCACTTCTTTTTTTTGATTTCACTTGGTGGGTGCGATTCATAGTAGAAGGTGTGACTGGTTAAAGAGTTGTCAAACTCCAAATACCTGTGGCATCTTCACACTTATCGGCGTTTTTTATATAACTGTGAATAGAGAAGCAATACAATTACCTCAGAGACCTTTTATGTTTAACGTTTAACTAGTTCTCGATTGCATTATCTTACCATAGGATTTAATAGTAAAATGCAGTTATTCCCCTCACTTCTATCTGAACGAGATACTAATAAATGTCCAGAGTGGCATTATTCACCGTATTTTAAAGGCACATTTTTTCTACTAAATAAAGTTTGAATAAATCCAAATGCTTTGATGGTGAGAGCTATGATGACGGTGGTGATTCATATTTTGCCTTAGTGCTGTTTCGTTTGTGGTTACAAAAATGTGATAATTAGATCTGTCACAAAAAACGATCACCAACAGTGATCGAACTGTTTCATCTCTAAACTTTTATAGTAACTGACATTCCCAGAGTTGTTTAATATCCACTCCAATGTTTTTGAATGCCAGGATTCCTGTCATACATTATTATAGCCGACTTCTGATTATAACGAAGTATGCTTATATTGTGATTGTCTCATCTCGTAATTATCTATATAAATACGTTAGCCGTACGATATCCATATACCTTTGGATTAAGAACCATCAATAAAATTGGCCAATCATTACACTCTTGGGTGCCATTTAGACAATTTATTCAACATATCCATCACAACAAATGTACTCCTGAACTTCTCACTAACCAAACTTTTGCATAGAGCTGTTTCATGGAACTGCTTGATTCAAAACAAAAGTGCGGTAATTATTTTTTGTTACCAGTGAGTAGAATATTCTGCATTCATCATATAATTTCACACTAGTGCATTACGTTTGAACCCCTCTCTACTTCGGCTGGAACAACCGGGTAGATTATTAAGCCTTCATGATTTTTGTATATTAATGATAAATGGTTTGAATATTTTTGAGCGCATAAATCGAATTCCAAACGCGAACCTACAAGTTTCCCCATTGCCTTCTCTCTGATTTTGATATTGTTCCATTCGTGACTACTAAATTACAGATTGGACATTCCTTGGGATTACTAGTTGGTAAGCTGAATTTCACTAACTCGATATATCAAACCCTTAAATTTAGAGTGTAGCTCACACCCAGTTAACTAGTGAACGAGCTGTATTGGTAAACAAATACTTAAAATAAATAGATCTGTAAGTCTTCAATATTGATCCCAGACTTATTAGTCTAACAGTAAATACCTAGCTGAAGGTACTCGGTCACACATCCGCAACATATCACGAGTGGGTACGTCGCTCCACGCATGCCTTGCAATTGCCAACCAGCTTAGACCAAACGCTTCTCGACATATTGATAGCTTTCAAAATATATCTTCAAACCCCCTCACTTCTGACTTGACTGGGTTGGTA